GTGGAAGAGAATATTTTAGAGAATAACATTTTCTGTATCTATCCGGATCTGAACACGGGACCTATTGAACGAGAGGTGAACACCGTAACCTCTAGATCACGAGTACTCCCGCTGCATTTCAGTGGTTCCATTTTGGCCGGGGCTGTTAAAATGTTGGCCGACTGGAACGCAGGAATGTTTTTGTATAGAGTATCAGTGGTTGTTGAATCTAGCCCTAAAGGTGGTGATGGTCAGATGTGTTTGACATATTAAAAGTGAGTGCTACGAGTACACAAAAGGTCTCATGGCTGAGATTTGAATCAGTCATTGTCATTTCCAATTTTCATGACTGGTGGAATGTGAAATTCAATCCAGTGACTTTATTGGGTTCAAAGAAGGTTCAAGCCGGTAACGATAAACTGCTCTTCTTCTTCTCTTTCTCCTTCTCCTCCTCCTCCTCCTCCTCCTCCTCCTCCTCCTCCTTCTCCTTCTTCTTCTTTCTCTTCTTTTTCTTCTTCACTGTCGTCGTTGTCGTCGATCCCCTCCTCCTCCTCCTTTTCCTCTCTCGTTTTTCGTTTCTTTTCTACAGCTGCCTGCTATTGCTCCTCCTCTTCCTCCTCTCTCCATTCAAAACACATTTTCCGCAAAAAGCCATTTTCCCACCGTGGTTTTCCTGCAAAAGAGAACACTCCCCGCCTCATTAAGTACCATCCTCCATATCCAGCTTCTATTTTTCATTAACCCCCTCCCTGGAACTGGTTTTTTCCCGTCTTTCTTTTTGCTCCATGAAAGATTTCCCAAGCCTAATTACCCACCGGGTTCCGCTCTAGCAGAGAGTCCTCGCCCTTGTCCTCCCGTTGAGTGTCCAGCCGGTCCCGAGTGAGGGTCAGTTCCCAGATCAGCTTACACATGGACACGAGCACAGCTGATACCAGGAGGCTCACGTGGAGCCGGATGCGCTGTTGCTGCCTCAGCTGTCTGCACAGGGCACGGAAAGAAAGTGGTAGTAAGCGGCGAGCGTGTGATGGGTAGATAGATAGATAGATAGATAGATAGATAGATAGATAGATAGATAGATAGATAGATATATAGATAGACAGATAGATAGATAGATAGATAGATAGATAGACAGATAGATAGATAGATAGATATATAGATAGGTAGATAGATAGATAGATAGACAGATAGATGGATATAGATAATATGAACACACACGCACACATATATTTATATATATATATATATATATATGTATATACATACATATCATATATATTATATATTTAACACATGTATATTACATTTTATATATATATATATATATAATTATACATATATAATTATACATAATAGATAGACAGATAGGTAGATAGATATTTAGTAATATAGATAGATGAATAGATGGACGGATAGATAGATGCATTTACAACCTAAAGATTTTCACTTATTGTTATAATATGAATAAGCAGGTTAAAAAAACCCAACTAAAAACCCCACAACAACAAACAACCAAGCTCTTAGACAGACAAAGGATGAAGAAAACCCTTTTAAAAACCGCAAAAAATAGCAACAACGACAATAACATCTTTTAAAGAGACTCTTCATCAGCTGGTTTGCTAGGGCCCATTGGGCCCAAATACAATTATATTTTCCATATTCGCTTTGACCCCCCCCCCCCCCTTCTTTCCCATCAATCTCCAAATTTTATGCCATAAGCCTCTGTCTATGTATTGTGTCCGTTGTTCTCTCTCATTTGTCTTATTCTTTGTTCTTCTCTGCGTATGTCTGGCCAAGTGCCTTGTCCCCCCCCCCCCCCCAGAATCGTCAAGGTTCCCCTGAGTGGAGAAGCTAAGAGAAAAAGCGAGGGAAGGGCCAAATTGAAATCTGGTCGGATATTCCGGACAAAATTTAGAGAAAATCAAGAACTGTTTGGACAGGGAACTCGCTGCAAAGGCCTCAGGGGCACTTATTTATCCTAGGGAGAAGAGGGTACCTGGATATGTCTCAAATTGGAGTCAGAGATCCCCAATCGAGGACGGCAGAGAATTTCAAACAACTGATGTTTTACGTCTGGGTTGAGCAACCACGCCACAGGGACAAAAAAGATAGAATTACAAAAAAGACTCCACCACTCCGGATTAGAAAAAGGAATATAAATGGCGATAAAAGCCCTATAAAAAGGCATAAAATACCGGCCCCGCGTGGAAACCCCCTCTCCCCTTCTATGTGCAGACAGGTACATCCAGG